CTTTTAATCCGACAATCCTGCTCATCAGCGCCAGCTCCGAGCTCGGGAGCTTTTGTGCAAGCTTTTATGCGGGAATAAAATGGGAGCGTGCAAAAGCAGCACAACCAGGAGGATTCATTCTAGCTCTGACGTCCGGCCTGCTGTCACCCCCTTCCCCTCCCACCCTTTCTCTGGGGCATGTCATTCATTTACGTCACTTTGTGAGTCGAGCTCAGATTCGGGACCCTAAGACTCGCCACCCCGGATCCCGGCTCCTGCCCACGTGCCCGGCTGTCACGCTCAATTGGCGCTCTGACATGCTCCGTTGCCAGATTTCATCGTGCTTTGTATTAATAAGGATTTGATAAGGGTTTGGTTAAAATAAAAAAAAATTCTCCAGAAACAGAACAGAACAGAACAGAACAGAACAGTGATTTTGTCCGTTTAGAACTCGTTTGTATCTTACTACATTCAAAAAAAAGCTAAGGCCTTTTTTGTGTGTACGTTCGTGTCGATTTGCATTCTAAGTGGTCCTTTCATTAACCAATCGGAGAAAGTCATCGGAAATCCCCGGGAAATTCGAATGAAATCTTCGATATATGTAGGTAGATGAATGCAAGGGAAAGTAAGGGCCAATAATGTTCTTCTCCTTATTCTTGTTGTGTCCATTCAGGCCACACCCCAATTTAATTCAATTCTGCCGCACTACACTGGAAAAAAACACATTGGATCTAGAGTCCAGACTCTTAGAAACATCGACAAGAAAAAATACTCTTGATTTAATCAGAATCTAGCTTAAATTAAGAACCAAAAGCCTCTTAATTTAAGCGTATTTCGTTTTGACTCGAGCAAAAATCCGATTGATTCAAGAGTATTTTTTCTTGTCAATGTTTTCAAGAGTCTGGACTCTAGATCCAATGTGGTTTTTTTTCCAAAGTAAGGAAAAACGCCGTATGAACCTTCAGGCGTTGCCATTTCCATGGATGAAACACGAATTTCCTGGTAAACTTACAAACAATTTCCTTCCAGTTTTTCAGGTAATTTTGTTCGCCATTTTACCTAAATAAGCGCCTGAAAATCTCAAGGAAAAATATTCATAACTTTCATCAAAAATAAACATTTTATCGAAGGAAATCTGGCGACTCCCGAATGTTCATGCGGCCTTTTTCCTTAGCACGGCAGAATTGCTGACCAGTTTGTGGATTTCTTTTCCTTCAAAAAAGGTATCCCTATTCATGCGAGCAGAAACTGAAGATTTAAATGCGTGCTCACACACTCAGCTCATTCAGAAGTCGCAACTGAAACTAATGGGAAACCATCATCAGTTACGGTTGTTGGAAACCACCCCCAGACGCCGGAAATTTCAAACTACGCATATTGCGTCCATAGGAACGGATTTCAGACTTTTTTAACGCGACCAACGTGATTTTCGTGCAATTTTCTTGCTCAAAAGTCAATATCCATACGGCTGTATTACCTGCATGCAACATACCCATAATATTGCCAGGGAAATATCATGGGAAGATTCTCATTGATTCCCCACTAAAGCTTATAAAGAACGTAATAACTGATGCGCACGTGCTCCTTAACACATTTCAAGTGCTAATTTGAAAGTTTATAATCCTTCTTACCTAAACAATTGTCCTTGAAAGATATGGCCTTTCTCCTGACCCCATCAGAGCGTTTTGTGGAAGACTCGTGGGGGGCTATCAATCCATTCTAGGGATTTATTCAATCAAGTCGTTCGTCCCTACGGCTCAGACCTTGAGAAAGAGCACACGCCCTATTTTATGCGCTCTTCTTCCACCAACTGATCAATTCCAAACCAATATTGCTGACCTATCGCCAGCCTTGTTGTCAATTCAAGGCAGAATCTTGAAATATTCCGTATATGTCCATGTGAAAATCCGTTATTAAGAGTAAATTAGCAGCACGGGTCGTAAGCCTGATTGCCATAAAGTTTCCCGAAGTGCACCTCGAAGAGGGTTGCATGTGCAGAAAGTCCATCAAGTGAAGATTGCAGAGTGTAAATGCTTAATGATGCCCTTCTATTTCGGTGTATACGGCTTGGAATATCGACAGGTATTGATCAAGGTGCATTGCGGGAATTTTGAGTTGGTGTTGATGCATGTCGAAAAGATGTGAGAAGTGAATGATAGGACAGAGTCATCGGCGTGTTCAAAGGAATATGCACTCTGCTGTATTGTGTAGTTCATATTTTCCTCATCTATGGTGGCGCGCAGCGATTTGCAGTTTTGGAGTCGTGTTCCGAGTTACGATTCATCCGCAAGGAAATATACTGCCGTGCTAAGTAAAAACGCCGTATGAGCCTTCAGACGTTGCCAAATTTCCATTTATAAAACACAAATTTCCCGGTAAACTTATGAATATTTTTCTTTAAATTTTTCTGAGAATTTTGTTCGTATTTTGTTCTAAAGTTCCTGGAAATTTCAAGGATAAATATTTATAACTTGCCTCAAAAATGAACATTTTATCGAAGGAAATTTGGCAACTCTCGAATGCTCATACGGCGTTCTTCCTTAGCGCGGCAGTGTAGATACACTAATTCCAGGTGTCCAGTAGATTGTTCCAATCATTCGTATCATATTATCGATTTTTATATTGACTTTCTGAGATGACTTAATATTTCACTTTTCGTAATTGTCGATTAAAAATTCGCGAAAATTGCAGTTATAACTGTCCTCGAATATCACAAGTGTAGCTAAAACAATTTTCTGTGGGTGGTGCAGTGGCCTAGCCCTCACTTTTTCATGAGGGGCCTAGGCCCTTTCAATATGAATGAGAATTTCGAAGGTCTCTGTCGGTAAATGTTGGAAAATTAATCTTATGTAAGTCCATTGATCTTGTTACGGCTAATCTCGAGCATAATTTGGCCGTTGAAATTCAACCCTCACAATAATCCTGGAAAAACTTCTGAAACTTCTTTTCTTTTTCCAATTGTATCGTGCGATAAATAGACGAAATGTTCTGCTTCTAAAAGTATTTACTAATCAGGAAATTTTTTAGAGGTGGGGTAGAGATGATACTATTTAAAATTGTGGGGGAACCAGGCCTAAGAGCTACACTCATGATCCCTGTGAGCTGTTTTGTCTGCAAAGTTGGCATTTAGCATTAGGCACGTAGGTAAATGCTTTAACTTCCTGAAACAAGCCTGGTGTTAAAATCGGCGTTTTAAGTGTTCGAACCAGAAGTGATTTTACAAGATTTTCATGTCCAAAAGCGCTTGTAATAATACGTAGCTTGTAAGCCTATAAAGCTGTTACAGATATCTATTGATCCAAGTAATCCCAGACTCTTTGAGTGCTTTGCGTGTGCGTCATCCTGTTAGACTGGCCGTATTTAAAACAAAGGGAGCTATATCTAGTATGTAAGGGGCCCTGCGTCCTATAAGCGTATAGGCATGACAGGGGTCATGCTACAATGGAGATAACTTTTTTGTTTGAAATATGTCCATGTAAGACAAGGTTCAAGCACTTGAAACTAGACCTGGTGGGTAAACAATTTCGGAAATCTTCCATTGAATCGGTCGGAGAGGTCCCCTCGATGACTTTGAATTTTTTTTCCAAATCAACACAAGGCTATTCTGATGTTATTTGAGCTGTGTTATGCCAACAGTCTCTAACGTTTCTTCGATTCCTTCTAAACAAAATAGTTGTTTAAAAAAACAAAATTCGGAATTTTAGGATATACTATTCAAGGAGAAAAAAGTGACAGTGTATGAAGCGGTAGATATTTTGTTCTCGATTAGGTATCTCCTAAACTTTCATCGGGTATCTGATTTAACAGCCCATAAAAACATCGCAATATTCGACCACATTAGAATTGTAGAATTATTAATGAGCACTTAAATGAGAATCAAGAAAAAATAAGAGGTGTATGTCGCAATGATAGCATTTACCTGTCGTGTTTAGCTTTTCAAGTCAAACTAATCTACATACGTTGTGTGGGAAAAACGGCATAATCCCCAGTCGTTAAGAAAGAAACTTTTGAAAAGTGAAATGATGACTTTATGAAAAGAGAGAGGTGAAGAAGACGAAAATGAAGTAAAATAAATGGAGAAAAGGTAAAATACTGTGGACTGTTGAGCCACAGTTGTATATTGAACAGTAATGAATTTGACACTGGACTTTGAGGTAGCAAGGTTCGGTTCGTCCGCACCACCAGTATCTTCTCCTCATAAAAAGCTGTTTTTTCCTACCAGCACTCAACCTGCCAATCAATAGTCATTGAAAAGTCGGTACAATTTATGGTTGGGTAGTGGACATCGTTTCTCAATCAATTGATGGCCCGCGAGACAAGGTCAGGCTATATATCCCGCACCGTAACTTCGCAAAAGACGTCATTTCGGAGGTCCCTCCGCTCCTTCATCAAGTCTCACTTTCGGTGAAGGAAGACAAGGGAATACTTCGCATTACTACTTCTCACCATGAATTCATCGCGCCAAAAGTGTCGTCCGGGAGGATGCTCATGAGTTTTGAACTGCTTCTATGTTTGATGTTAACCCATGTTAAGACCGTTTAGCCAACTCCTTTTTTGAATTTTCAAAAACAATTCAGCTTCCGCCGAAAGTAGACTTGCAAATATCGAACTACCTCTATTTTCAATATTATCACCTTTTTGACCGTTTAGCTAACTCCTGTTTTGAATTTTCAACAAAAACTTTTTTTTAAATACAGAAAATAAAAATCTTAGAAACTTTAAAAAAATTACGTTGTCGGTGATTTCTCAATTGAGAAATGAATTATGATGAATAGTCTAAATGACTGAAACCCAAGGTTTTGTTTCCTTTAATTTTCGTCATAAATTGGCTTTGGTCTTTGCAAATTTTTACCTTTAGTTGCATTTTATTTGTTCACATTTGTCTCATCTCAATTGAGAAATGAATTATGATGAATAGTCTAAATGACTGAAACCCAAGGTTTTGTTTCCTTTAATTTTCGTCATAAATTGGCTTCGGTCTTTCCAAATTTTTACCTTTAGTTGCATTTTATTTGTTCCAGGTTGCCATCAAGATAATCGATAAGTCCCAGCTGGATTCTGTCAATTTGGAGAAGGTGTATCGAGAAGTAGATATCATGAAGCAGTTGGATCACCCACATATCATTAAACTGTATCAAGTAAGCATTGAATCATTCATCAAAACTTATAATTATCCTACATTTGATTTCATAGCCAAGAGGCTGCATTAAACATGGATGAAAATATTAAGAAAAGAAAATCTAAATCAATGAAACATGGTAAATATCAGATTTTGAAAGTGGGGAAGTTAAAAAAAAAAACTTTCGTTCAATGTGCTCATTTTCTTGTAGCAATTATTATTTAAATAAAATGATCTTTTTGTTGGCGTTTATTACATTTAAATATGAAATTTTACCATCATAATGGTATCCTGCACCAGTGCAACCACTACAAATAAGACAGCAAAGGTAAACAAACACAGGATGAAAATAGAGCAAGGACGCGTGTTGATCACGGCGCAGAGATACAACTATTCGTACCTGATGGATGTCCGTGTTGCATCTACAAAATTGAAGGCGCGATGGCCCGCGGCGTGAAATTGCAATGCTCCGCTGTGTATACTGCCGATGAGGTTTCGCTTGGGTTCTGTAGTGAAGTTAAAAAACGAGTCCCGATTACGACTTTCCTATCTTCGGCTGTTTTGCTCTCGTAGCCTTTTAAGCAACGCCATAAATAAGACAAACGGAACCAACACAATATGGAAACGGAGCCAGGAAAAGATAGCGCGTTGATGACGGGGCAGAGATACGACTATTCGTGCTTGATGGATGTCCGTGTTGCGTCCGCAAAATTGAAGGCGCGAAAGCGTGAGGCGTGAACTGGCAATATTCCGCTCCATGCTGCTAGTGAGATGTCACTCTAAGTGTCTAATTCGAAAGTTTAAAAAAAAAAACACGACTCGGTAGCGTTTCTCCCATCTTTTGGCTGTATTAGCTTTTGATTTTCTCTCAGCATAATAAAACAGGGCTATACGGCGATTTTTTGATAACTTGGCAATTCCTTTCACTTGTGCTCTCTCTAATTTAATTCCAAATTTATTTTCAACGAATTTAGGCTGTGCGTAAAAATTGATCCTTGACATGTTATTTCTTACGTTTAAATTTTATTTTCCAGGTCATGGAGACGAAGAGTATGATTTACATCGTTTCCGAGTATGCTAGTCAAGGCGAAATTTTCGGTGAGTCATAGATTTACATTGATTTCACCTTGTCATTGCTATAAACTCTCTGACCACCTTTTCCATCATTTGTGAAAGTTTTTTTCTAGGGTGCCCCTGGCCTGTTTTCATGAATTTTGCGGATCTCCATAAAAATCCGGCATTCATGAAAATACCTTTTGGCTGAAAAATTCACTCGAGACTTTTCATCTTTTGAACAGTATAATAGTACCTTTAGATTCATTGAAAACTGTATGGTAGCTTTATTATGGAACTTTATTTACAAGCCATGATGCAGGTGTTGCAGACGATGCATCTTATTCACTGCATCACTGAAGTTTGAAGTCTGTAAATTCTGTCATTTTTATACTATAATTGATAGGGTGATTCTTTCAGGTTTTAAATAAGTTTTCGCAGAGTGACGAAAGTAATAGAATAAAGAAATGCGGATAGGAAAGGCAACGTAAATTTCACCGACGTGATAAAATTCCTCTGAAGAGCATGTTTGATGTGGTTTTTCACACGCTAATACCTCAGGACTCAGGCGCGACGGCTGATAAAGAAAATATAGCTCCTCGCTATATATAATTGAGTGTATCGATCACACTAAAATTTTTATGGAGACCATTTCAGATAACGGTTCAGTGTCGGTCACCAATACATACGATCCCATAGGTTATGACACAAAAGGTGGATTTAATGGTGGAGGAATCACTGAAAGCTCGACGTGGTTGCGAGCTTTTTTTGTATTCAGCCGTGCGAAGAAAAAACGGCATGGTACATTTGAATGTCGACGGATATCCTAGAATATCTTACGGATTTTGTGGGAAGCTTGCTAATTATATTTCGTGACAATTCAATTATAAAATTGTAAAATTATCAAATTATAACAGGGGCACATCTGGCAAGGATATTTGCTCAAACGGAGTTTTTCATAGCATGGTAGTATTGGTAGTATAAGACATAGTTACGTAGAAGGCATTTTTGATGAAGGTTTCGTTTAACAATAATTTCAGTGCCTGCTATTACGCAGCTTACACTTTGTTTATGTCTTAATCACGGCACCGTATTGTATGCAGATTTTTCCACGAAAATAAGTATTATGTGGAAAATGTTTCGTAAGTTGCGGTTCCGTGACCTCACACAATGCTGGCTCAGGGAGAAATGCTCCAACCTCGAAAACTGGGCTCTTTATTCATAAAATTCCTTCTCTTTTCTTTTTCTTATCGCTGATAATTTAGTATTTTTCGATTTACCCTTGTTCTCCTTTTTCTGACCATGAAGCTGAATTTCAGCTCTTTTTTCTATACAAATTAAAAAATTTTCAAAAAATGATTATACTTAGATGACTTACTTTTTTATGATTATTTACGCCCAATGGCCATTTCGAACAGGCCGTCCAAAATTCAGGTGACTGGACTGGTACGGAAAAGTTGAAAATTCGGTGTGAATGGCCATTGTGCGTAAAGAATAATAAAAAAGTAAGTCATCTAAGTATAATCGGTTTTTGAATTTTTTTTAATTTGTATGGAAAAAAATGTTTATAGTGCCGATAAAGTGTTAGCAAACTTGTGCAGTATGTTACAACATAGTGAATTTTAGCTGTTGGCCACTTTACCATTGTCGCCGTGCATTTGTCTTCCTCAGTGGCGAGGCTTGAATGATCGATTACCGATATTTTCTCATCTGAAGCTACGGCGAAGAATCGATAATTACGATGTTCGTAGCAAACACCATGTTTATCGATCCTTTTCCATAGGTTTAAATGGCAGATCAATCGATAAATCGCAAAGCACGCTACGCCACTGGTCTTTCTGCGGGAGTCAACGTGCGTGCGTAATTTCTAATACAGCTACATGCGAAGAAAAACACAAGGAAATATCATACTTTTTATTGAAAAATCGCACACTGGAAAAAACACATTGGATCTAGAGTCCAGACTCTTAAAAACATCGACAAGAAAATCAGAATCAGATTCAATCAGAATCTACCTTAAATCAAGAACCAAGCCTCTTAATTTAAGCGGATTTCGTTTTGATTCAAGCAAAAATCCGATTGAATCAAGAGTATTTTTTTCTTGTCAATGTTTTCAAGATTCTGGACTCTACATATAATGTTTTTTTTCCAGTGCATATAGAAAAGTATTTTGAATTTACATCATAAATTAAAATGTCATAGATTTTTTTTTCTTTTCATAATGAGTTAGATACCATGCACACATTTTTGTACCTTCGCTCATGAGCGAAAAAATTCAACTACCATCCTTGGGCGAGGCCCGCATTCCGGGGCTTGAAGAGACGCGAGGGGTAGCATGCCCAGATTTGGCCCGGAAGTCCCGAGCTCGCAACACGCCCGCGTGACGCATGTTGCCTAGCCGGGCTGGGCGCGGCGCGAGATACCGGCCGGGTCGCAGGGCTGCAGCCGTAGTATACTACAACTCGTCACTACGAGGCTCTGCACGCCACTGGGGGTCGAAAGTGTAGGAGCCGGGGAGGAGGAGGGGGGAGTTGGGGTTGAACGTCCCTCGGCCCGCGCGGGCTCGTAGATCGATCGGCGGACCGGTGCAGCCGGCGGAGTTGCATAACCACCAGGCGCACGCGCCAACCGCGGCGGTGCCCCGCGGCATTGACGCCGAATCGACGCGGTATAGAATGATTCATAGCCGATATAACGTCAAAGCCTGCTTTGCGTACCCGGGAATAAATAACTTTGCATAAATGGGTGTCATCATTTTCGCGCTCGGAGTAAAATTAAGCGGCAGCGTGTTACGTACACGAAACGAGCCGATGAAAATGAGTTTTTTATGTTTACTGGCTTCCACAACTGCGTCAATCAAAATTCCGAACACGGTTTTTGGGTGTGAACAATGAGCAGATTTCCAATTGGTTGCAATAATTCACGGAAAAATCCGTCTCGAATCTCGTGACGTATGAAAATAGGTCTGAATGAATATCGACTGGACAAAGCTCAGCAAAAATGTAATAAGTTCGTGATGGGGAAAAAGAGAGTTTGCTTGTTAGTTAGCCATGACGTTGGTTTTAAATTGTCTCGCAACAATAATTTTCTCCAACGGCACTCATGCAGCAGACAAATCCCTAATTTTTTAAAAAAAAAAAAAAAAAAAAAAAAAAAAAAAAAATTGGCTCCTTTCAACTAAATTTAGTTCCAACTAGCCATCGATGAGGAGCGGGAGCTAGAGGAATGTGCATGTAACAGGATTGAGAAATGGTGCTGAGTCCACACCATTTTGTGGGGAAGTCAAGGCCAAGAAATTCCAAAAATCATTAAATTAGAGTCAAAAATATGTTTTCTAATTTGAAGGTCCATGTACTAATCCCTCAGAGTGCGCGATGTAGATTTTCCAGGTCACCAGGTTTGTTTTAAAAGAAAACGATCTTTTTGAAACCATCTTCGTAAACCGTGGTAATTTGGGATGATGTGGCAACACAGCATGACGCCTGCCTTTTGCTGGAGTGCTCGCGAGGGCTCTTTGCCCCGGCGAATTTGCTCGCTCGAGTAATCGCCGAACGTCGGAGGCTTGGGATCATTTTTAATCTGCGAATATTTAAAGGCAGTTAAATGCGAATCAAAAGCAAGTTTCTTGCAAGAACTCGCAGAAAATTTCTTGCGAGCACCCGCAGCGGGCTTCCCACGAGGCCTTTGCAACGAGTTTGCAAATACTCGCAGAATTTGCTTGCCGCAACTCTCTTAACTCTGAAAGCTTGTGACAACAAACGGACGGATCTAAATATTTGATGTTTGCATCGATTTTCGATTCGCTTAGCGGCTCTTGAAAGCAGCAGGGATGTTTGTCGTTGGTGGAGTTGATCGGCTTTCTTACACATGATGCGCTTAATCGAATCGAACCGATCATATTGAGTCCTTAATATTTTTTTGAGGGATTATCCCTTTCTCGTTAAAGAGGTTGTTAGAGGTCGAAAGTCCCTAATCTATCAGACTTCGCCAGCTTCAAATTTTAAAATAATTTTACTGCTCTCATTTTCTTCCCCTTTTGATCCTGCTTCATCTTTCGACAAGACTCAATTCAGTCAGAATCAAACGGTACTCCATGAACCCATATGTAGTTTGGGTATGTACGTCGTTGCTAGACTCGGGAGCGATTATAATGTTGCAAGTATTTCCTCGGTTCGCTCGCGTTGCGATGATGATTACCGCGAAATGAATAATTGATGGAGCTCCGAGTTTGACGTAAACATTCCTGCATCGAATCAACCAAGATTTCCGCATTTCTTCGCGTGTTTCGCGTGATGCAACTTAAATCCCACGCGATAAATGACTCGATACGGTTATGATGATGGACGATTTTTGCCAGATGCAATAGAGAATGATCCTGAAGGCAAGTGGAGGTTCTTACCAGTTGGCAACACTGCTTATTTTTCTTCCATTTACATAAAATGTAATAAGACCATCGATTCTACACTGAGAAAAAAAAATAACCCATCATTTTGGTTGATATGGAAAGTAAAGCACAAAGTAGCCAAGCCTTACCAAAGTAAAATGGTAATGGGCACTAGCCTATCTTATTATATAATAAATGTATACGATCCCCTGGAAATCTAGTAGCCAATACAATGTGAGTTTCTGACAGTGCTAACTATAGTTACACAGTGAATCCATCAGGCATCTGGTCACCCATGCTGCCAGGAATCTACTCCTAACCAGTGGTCTTCCTATAGGGACTCTCATTATTTTCTCTACATCAGCGAACCTTACCATGTTCCGTGAGACCCAATTGCAGACCTCCTCGATTTTGTATTGTAATTTGATTTTTAAAATCCGCCAGACACAATAGCTCTTATGAACTGTATGGGCCGCCATGCATACATGGATATCCTAACTCACGAGTCTAAACGAACTGCCCTTTTATAACCTCTTCGAGAGGAAACGGTCCCCTATGACATTTACTCCACGGATTTTCAAACTGTGTGGCCCGTCGCGCCGCGCCGCGCCGCGCCGGCGGTCTCGTGTTCGTGCGTGACAACATTGAGTTGTTAAAATGTACGCTGGGAAATGTCAAGTCTACTGCAGGTGTCTTTTTTCGTCATTTGTGATGGAAAGCGGGAACAAGAGGATAATTATGGAGTAGAATTCCGCTGTAAAAGGTGAATTGGTGTGAACTATGACTTTGACAGGATCGCCGCATACCGTGATCACAATAATGCATCGCTCAATGTGCGTGCATCCATTGACTCCAGCGGGTTGATTGTTGAATTGGCAGACTAAGCTATAGACAAAGAAGACAAAAAGGATATGGATGGAGGGACCCTATTGGTAGAAGCGCGGTGGTTGCAATGGACAAAAGAGATAAGTAATAGACTAACTAATGTCAACCCATCGAGGGAGCCTTTCGTTAATCCATCTCTTTCTCCCTTGGTCTATAAGAACCACCCATTTCAACCAATAGGATCGCTCCATACTCCTTATGTCTTCTTTGTCTATCAAAAATCAGCCATCAGGTGTCCAAACTAATGCATCCCTATACTCCTAAATGTGCAGAGGTTTATAAGTAAGAAAAACTGTAAGGGGGGAGGGGGTAAAAGCCTTGTTAAGCGCCACTTCAAATAAAACAAACAAAACCAACATACTGCAGAAAATAGAGCGAGGGCTAAAGGGCGCGCTTTGATGACGGCGCGGAGCTACAACTATTCGTGCTTGATGGATGCCCGTGTTGCGTCCGCAAAATTGAAGGCGCTATGGCGCGAGGCGTGAACTCGCAATGCTCCGCTCTTTGCAGCCAATTTGGTGTCTTTCAGATTCGGAAGAAAAGTTAAAAACGAAGCCCGATCACGTCTCTCCTATCTTTGGCAGAGTTTACCCTATTGTTTTTTCAATTTGGTGTCTTCTTCTTTTATTAAGGATGCTTTGGTAAGATGTAGTGTTTTCCGTAATTCCGTTTATCGTTAGGTTTTTCAAAATTGAAATTAAGGAGTTTCATTGCTGTTGCAGATTACATCGCGCGGTATGGAAGGATGACCGAGAGCGCTGCCAGGCGGAAGTTTTGGCAAATTCTTTCCGCTGTCGAGTACTGCCATAATCGAAAAATCGTTCATCGAGATCTTAAGGTAAGCATTTTTGGAATCGTAAAATCAAAAGGGCATGCGTCAAGTAACTTTTTCTAACTTTTAGTGAAACTGAAAATAATCGTAACCCTCTTTTACAATTTTTTTTACCATGTTTTTTAAGTAATCGAAATCTCGACGTATAACGTCGAGAAGACAAGGGAGCGTCACTCGCTTCCGTGAACAATGAATTATCACGAAAAGTAACGAAATTATCGTCCGGCCGACCTCGCAGTGATGACTGTTTGTTGGGATCTGGTGTTTTCTGACAATGGCGCTGTCAAAATTTGTCACTCTGAATGATGAGCTTCGAGCGTCATCAGCCTGCATTCACAGGTAATTTATTGACGCAAAGATCGCTGCCAGCGACATTGTCACGCCAGTCTACTCTCTTGCGTGCTCTTCGCTCTAATCGCAGAGTCAGCCAACCGAATTTGAATATCAAATTTCAGAAAAACACCTATTTTTTGTATCAATGCATTAAAGGGATACGATGTTTCTCGTAACATTGGTGTGAGTTGGATAGAACCTATAATAATGATATCGGTGGGATTGTTAGGAGGTCCAGGGTATTCGAACTTTACCCAACCCGTAAAATTTGCTTGATTTTTTCAACTTAAAACTATAACTGTAAACTTAAATCGAGAGGCTTGGAGGACAAGGCGCATGAGTGCAGTTTTTGAAAAAAATTCAGACATTAATGATATCAAGTAAAACTAGTCTTAGAGCATGTTTCGTGAAAAAATGGCTCCCAAATTCCAATTTTTAGGCATCAAGAAGTCAGTTTGAACTTTCTTTCCGCCATAAGGATCCATGTACTTTCGAAACTTCAAACATATATCTCTCGAAATAGCAAAAACTGAACTTATGCGCCTTGTCCCCCAAACCCCTTAATTATTGTTTGTTCTTTTTAAATTTATTTGATGTAAAATTGCACACTACGTAATTTTTGGAGTTCCTTTCTCCATGCATTCAGAAAAATATACTCCCATTAACCTTGTTATTAAGGTAACGGGTATTTTCACTAATTCCATTAAGTAGAGCGAGTCAAACCTTGGGTCGCAGCCTTAGTCGAAATGTCAAGCAGTTGCTAACAAGTGTAACCTCTAAAAGTGTGGTCCTTCGTCGAATCTGGAGACAACATCTCGACTGTTAAATCCGTTGTCGGTGTAAAACTTTTCTCGGCCAAATCACGTTTTTCCAAGGCACGAACAAACTTCGCGATTTAATTGAAGGGATCACGTTTCGGGGGGACCGTGGGTGTGACTCGAAAAGTTCAGGCTGTCTTGACATTTCAAACGGAATAGCTGTTAATACAAAACCAGCGTGATTTGCGAATTTTCCATTAGAAGAACCTAAATTTGACCTCACGTCTCACGCAATTCTTCGTAAGTCGGATTATTTTGTAACTACGCCGCTTCGTTTTGAAAGAAAAGGCGCCTAGCAACCCGTTTTGTTTCGTACCTCTATCTTTTTTCGTATATTTTTTGTGCTACTTTAACCTCACCCTCCGGTGTTTCGTAGCCGACGGATGCTTTAGCAGGGTGTCTACAAGTACGGAATTTCCGGAAAGTCCGGAAAAAGTTCTGATTTTTTAAGGACGGTCCGGAAGTACTGAAAAAGTGCAGAATTTCCGCCAAAAAATACGGAATTTTTCATTTTTGTCGCAAATTTGAGCGAAAAAAACAAAATTTTGAAATTTTCCGAATTTCGTCAAATGGAGGCACTGAAAACGTACTGAATTTTTCCGTTGAGGAGGCACTGAATTTCGTGAGAATGTACTGAAAAAATACTGTAAAAGTACTGATTTTTGGCCAGCCTGTTCTAGTAGACACCCTGTTTAGAAGTCATTGGATTTTGAATAATTGATTCTACAGGTCTTGCAGTTACTGTATTGTTCATTTGAATAACTTTCGGTTCGAGATTTCGGTTCCTTCGATACATGCAAGAGCGACTTGCTGTCCCAACGACTTTAAAAATCAATCGGCAACATGTATGGCTGGCTGTAAGGCGTGGGATAGGTTTACGGAGTTTATTATACATTACGGATATGACGTTCATCGTCGATTGATGCGATACGAATATGCACCGCGGCAGCGGGACATCGATGCCACTTTTCTAACAAAATAGCCTTTTACCCACTCCTTCCCAATAGGAATGCGGGAAATTCGCCGCAAGTTGGCAGTAGGGGCTCCATTACACGGTCGGCAGACAATCCAATTTACGGCTGCTTAATGGTGTCGTAACGAAATCTTCCGCACGTGAGGGTGTACGGGCACTTAGGAACCTCAAACAGCGCAATCTGGGACCGACAAAGGGAAGTTCAGAAGTCGCCTCTCATTGGTCGCTGAGTTCTTCTTATTTTTTCCTATCCATGGACCTAATTAACTAACGGTTGCACATTTAATGAACTACACTCTTGATCGATGAATTTTGATTTTTTGTGTCCACGCGACGAAATTCACCGGCAACACTGGAATAAAAACACATTGGATCTAGAGTCCAGACTCTTGAAAACATTGACAAGAAAAAATACTCTTGATTCAATCAGATTTAAACTTAAATCAAAAGGAAATCCGCTCAAATTAAGAGGCTTGGTTCTTGATCTAAGCAAAAATTCGATCGAATCAAGAGTATTTTTTCTTGTCGATGTTTTTAAGAGTCTGGACTCTGGATCCAATGTGTTTTTTTCCCAGTGAATGAGGAATCTTTAAATTTGAAGTTAGAACCAGTATATGACCGATGGAATCTAATTATTTAATCCAATTGATGAAATTTAAACTTTTGAGACTTAAGCTCAGCGAGACGCAAAGCTTGCGAACCGGAGCGCATCCGTAAAACCTGCGAGAATTTTCCCAGAACCCCTATTGCACCTAAAATTTAGGACTGTTACTGACAACGCCGGATGATCAAAGCCAATCAAACCCTCTCCCCCCACCTCCCCTTTAACACTTAACGAGCGTTCCCAAGATAACGGAACAGCTGCCAACTGATTTTCCGGGACGATTCCGCGAAAAAGTTTCACCAGCAACGACTCAAATGGGCGCTCAAGATCACCAATCCGTCGAGAAAATTGGAAATTTTTCGATGAAACACAACGTTATGAGTGAGTTAGACGTTAAAATCGACACCGTTGCTCGACATATTTGCCAGAGAGGTTTTAAAAATCACAATCTCCCAATTTGACCCTATAATACTTTCTGAGTATAGAATAAATTAATTGTATAACTGGCAATCGGGCTCAGGCGTTCATCGAGAGCGGTGAATCTTCACAAGAAGGGGGAGGAGACGCTTCAATTAAAATTCAAAATTGCGTCGTCTGAAAGAAATGTCCCTTGATCTATCAGTTAAAACAAGTGAAGGGGCTTTCTCTGATGCTTTGGGTTCGCGAGGTTTGCGATGGAGGATTCAGGCTTTTATGTAGCGGTATGTTCTTCCGAGTGAAAATGTTTCTTTGAAATGGAAAAGGAAGAAAAAAATGAAGGCATTATCTGATTTTTTCAATAATTAATTACCCGGTGTGAAGTTACACCAATCGATGAAGGAGCAAAGTAGCTGCAAAAAGTATCGGGATTTTTCCACAGGTGTTTTTGGCTTCGGTCCTACATTTTCATTTGCTTGTCAAAATTATTGGAGTAATTTTAATGATTTTATTTATGAATGCTGATTAGACACATGTTTATTTGCAAAAATAAACGAGAAACTTGGGGCTCTATTCATATTGATCGACTTTTACTAATTTACATTTTTATTATCTGTACAGCAATTTCAACAATTTATTTTATTATTGATTCGTGTAGTGAACAAAAAGATAGCAAATAAATTGTTTTAATGAGGTTTTCTTACGTAATTTTGTCTCCCTCTCCTCTTATGTTTCTTTTTGGAGCAAAAAAAGTAAGAAATGAATTTTGCTTAAACAATTTTTGACTCGGCGAATTGAAATTGTTTAACTGTTTGGCCATATTTTCCCAGCAAAATACCCAGCACTACATCACCGACTTGTTACATACAGTTCGGACCAGGTTTCCTAGTGTCTTTCCTTGTAAAAATTATTTAATTAATAAGTAAATAATTTTATTTCTACCATATGTTTCTACCACGCAATCGTGACATTAATTTTATCCGATCGGGAAACTCAGAGAATGTGCTCCGCGTATAAAATGCTTGACGCGCAGTCCCTCCTTCCCTCTATTTTAATGAGTTTCTGCAATCATCCATGATTTGAAGCGGGGAGCTACCGGGATGTACGGCCAACGTAATTCAAGTGTAATCGATGGTATTTTTATCATGTCAATCCGTGGGCGGGGCCCATACGTGCGATTTGCGGGATAGCGGGATGGTGACCAAGTCCAAATATAGAGGTTGAAATTGAACTGTCTCTCTCCCGGACGTAGAATCCTCATCAAAAATAAACCGAAATTAAAATCATCGATGGGATATTTTTGCTAGCATAGGTTTAAACAACGCTTCTCCTGAAAACCTGTCATTTCCTAAAGTATAGGGTGTCTGGTAAGACTTGCACTGATAACAAAGTGATGTTGATTTAACATTCTGGATGTAAAAAAAGTGCGCGGGAACTTATAAAATGCTGAATCACCTGCCACATCAGTTAGTTTTACATCTTGGCATTGCTAAAGTAACTGCTGTAGCGGATGATTCAACATTTCTTAAGTTCTCGCGCACTTTTTCTACACCCAGAATATTAAATCAACTTCTCTTTTTTTCGGTGAGTTTTTTCAGTATATTTCACGGGTGACTTCGAGGTCGCCAAAAAATGATAATCCCCATCAAGTTTTAATGCAAAGTCATCACATTCCGATCGATGTAATTATGTCTATTGAAGGAAAGTAAAATAGACACAGGGTATAAAAAGTTACCCGCTGGTCTTAGAAGTAATGGTCGTTAAACGCTTGATGATATCTCATTACGGAGTATGCAGCAATTGAAACTAGAGGTGCCAGGGTCAGCTTATGAGGATACGAGTTCATCAAAGTACATAGGATTTTACAATGGCTAACCATTTGAAAGTGACATTTGAGAAACTTTGACTCCCTGATTTTGTACATTTTAAGCGAATTTAATTTCGGATTTTTCTAATAGCTTACACTTGTGGGAAACCTATACCACCAACTATTACGCTTTTGCGTGAATAATAGAAGGCAGAATGCATTCATGCGCTAAGTTTTAAATTTTCCAGGAACTGAGGACGAGTGAAATCTCTCTGAGCAGGTCACTTCACCAGTTCCCTGAAAATTAGTCTTAATCTCTGAAATCTGCACCCAAACCCATTGACCCGGAGTTAGGCGTATCGACTGCCAGGTCAACTTGGCCAACTACAGAATTTATCGATTAATGCCTTTTCTCAAAGGGCGGGGGAAAAAATCTAAAATATCCTTATGATTTAAAAGTGGTTTGTAAATGCTCCTGAGGTACTCTCATTTTTGATACACCCTGTAGCTCCCGACTATTCTTCCGAGAGCACCAGACATGTCAATTATGTCACTCATGAAGCAGATTCGCGGCTGACTTATTTACACCCCGACAGATGCCACATTTCAGAGTGAATGTCGAGACTATCATGACATTTCGACGAGAAACAAATAGTTTTGCCAACCGGCAACAGAATTCAGACGTATTATATGAATTGATCGAGTAATTTTTAGCGACAGGTCTTTTTATTCGTCGTTGTTTTAATTGATTGGGCTAAAATTACGCACGCGTCGTTGCATAACCCACTTCAGGATTTCATGAATCTGTCTATTGAGTGGTCTCAGCGCTCTAGTGACAGCTACTATTAAATGAGTCAAATCAGCCAATTGTGGACAAGAATAAAATACGTGCAGAAAAAACCCTCGAAAAAGGATTATATTTAATCGTAGTATATGAACAGTGTTTTCAAAATGGTGCAACTTATCCTTTTCTTTTAAAAATACCTACCATATGTATACAGTATTAAAATTTACCCAATTATTTTCCTTTAAAATCAACAACTTTTTGGTGGGAAGCCAAAACTTTTTGCTATGGGAGAATTTTTAGATACTTATGAAGAAGCAACATTTTTACAACACTGTAATCGCGCTGTTTCCTTTTTGCTAAATGCGATCCAAATGGCCAACCCGCTCTGAACTCTCTCTCTCCCCGCCGCTCATCCGCTTAGTGAGACTTCCATTCTTCCTCGATCTTAGCTTTCAAAGTTTTCCTGTAGATCTTACTCAACGTTCCTGTCACCGGCAACCTTCTATCGTCTTCGCAATCATCTTACGCATTCATGCGGACTTCATTGTCAAAATCAGAGTTTTTACAATCTTATCCCAATTATTTCGTTTCCATGGTTTTAATGGCGTTTTTCTATCTTATTTTGTTAACAGGCTGAAAATTTACTAATGGATGCTAATATGAATATCAAGATTGCTGATTTTGGATTCAGCAATTATTACACCCCGGGAGAGCAGCTGGCAACGTGGTGCGGGTCACCCCCTTATGCTGCGCCTGAGGTGTTTGAGGGCAAGAAGTATATCGGACCCGAAATAGATATTTGGGTGAGTAAAAGCTAAGATTTCATCTTTTTACTTTCCACGACGGTTTAAGAGGGAACTTTTTCAAAATTTGTGTATGTTTTTTCATCCACTGGAAAGGAAGTCGCTTGGATCAAGAGTCCAGATGCTTAATAATATTGACAAGAAAAAATACTCTTGATTCAATCATATTTTTCCTCGAATTTAACCAAGCCTCTTGATTTGATAAATTAACAACTTAATTTGGGGAAAAGGCTGCAAAAAAACAACAAAAGATAAACAAAACCCGGAACGTTTCAAAATAGTAACAATTCCATTTTCAACCGGAAAAAAATAAATAAATGAATAAATAAAAATAAAAACGATCCGTCGATACGCTGTAATTGCGAGACCGAGACTGATTACTGGGAAAACAGGCTCGAATTGAAATTTTAGAAAAGAAGAGAGATGAGAGAAGCGTGAGGTGATAAGAGAAGAGAAACATTTTAAATCACTCGGAAATTTAAATATTAAAATTTCTCTCTCGAAAATTTATCTTGGTCTTTTTTTTTCTACGCAAGATTTGAATGAGCTAACCAGGTCCTGTATTATTGTTTCAGAGTTTAGGGGTAGTATTGTATGTGCTGGTGTGTGGTGCTCTTCCATTTGATGGTTCTACACTGCATAGTCTGAGGGATCGAGTCCTTTCCGGCCGGTTTCGTATCCCATATTTTATGAGCTCAGGTAAGCCCCGCAATGTTTATTTGTTAATGTCCTGGTAGTTCGGCAACTTGTCTTAAAAAGTTCCCCGATCGAAAAAAAACAAAAAAACAAAAAAAAACCCAATTATTTCATGAATTGAAAATTATTTTGGCATACATTATTCAGTCTCCCAAAAAAACTTTGTAACCAAAAATATGGAACTTTTTGTTTCTCTTACAGTACAATTAATGCGTGTTTCAATCGTAGAGTTCGGAACAAACAAATATGAATGCCTATGTCTTTAATGTGAATTGAAAGGGGCATTTTTTTTTTATTTACAAAAATTGTAATATCAAGAATGAGCGAAAAGGTGCGCTTAATCTGAAAAAAAAAAACTTTTTTTCAATAAAACAGAATTTTTTTTTCTGAGTTAATTCAATTGACGCTATACATCCAACTCCATATTTTATGAAAGTGTTAAGCTGGCAATGTCTTCATCCAAAAGCAAATTCTGTAAAATCATGGAAGTCAACATGTGAAGTTTCATTTCAAAGTAAACGACTTTAAATGAGGGGCTTGGAGGACAAGGCGCATAAGTGCAGTTTTTGCTATTTCGAGAAATACGTGTTCGAAGTCTCGAAATGAAACGGATCCCTATGAAGGAAAGAGAGTTCAAACATTTTGATGCTTAAAAATTGGATTTATGAGCGAATTTTTCACAGAATACGCATTAAGACTAAATTTCACTTGAAATCATTAATATCTCAATTTTTTCAAAAACTGCACTTATGCGCCTTGTCCCCCAAGTCCCTCGAATGCATTAAAAGCGTGAACGCCAAGACTTCAATACCATGGAAACTCTTAAATTCCATGGTTGATCCTAAGTCATAAGAATATCCTCATGCGTAGAATCTCGCAAAGAAAGTCCGGTACGCCAAGCGTCGCTTCCTGCCGGAAGCCCTGATTTTTCCGCTGTTTGAAGTCTCGAAATGAAATGGATCCTTACGGCGGAAAGAAAGTTCAAACTTTTTGATGCTTAAAAGGTGGATTTAAGGGGCGAATTTTTCACAGAATACGCATTAAGACTAAACACTGGAAATCATTAATATCTCAATTTTTTTCAAAAACTGCACTTATGCGCCTTGTCCCCCAAGTCCCTCCAATGCGAACGCGCAAGACTTCAATACTGTGGCAACTCTTAAATTTCATGGTTGATCCACGATAAAAAATCATAAGAATATCCTCATGCGTAGAATCTTGCAAAAAAAAGTCCGGAGCTAAGCGTCGCCTCCTACCGGAAGCCCTCATTTTTCCGCGGCGAAGTTCGACCGGGAAATGGGCATCCAAAGTTGCAGAAGAGGGAAAGCGGGAAACCCCGGGCGCATCCACCTCCCCCGCATCCCTCCCGCATCCTCGCCGCGTCTTTTTTCCACCTTCTCAGACCAGGCGAATTCTTGGGAGGCGAAAACCGCGACTCCTCCGCCCCTCCCAACCCCCTTCAGCCGTTTACATTCCTTCACGTTGCCAAGCCTCACAAATTATTGAGCTTATGCTTGCGGAGATGAACTGGCTAGGGTATGTTAGGCTCTTCAAGAGCGATTTAAGTTACTCTGGGATATGTTAAATTTTACGATTTTCGTAATTCACGAATGCTAAGATTTGTGTCCAGTTGATTTCCTATTAAATAGTCTTTTATATTTTTCTCTTTAATGGCTAGTACATAAGTATAATGAAAAGGCTCTGTTAGGCAAAGGGGAAAGGCAGTAGGTGAAATTGCTTTGAATGAAATTTTACCTTTACTTTACCTTTAATAAGGGGGCGTAGCCCCCTAACCTTTACGCGATGCAACTCCCCGAAGTGCTTCGCGCCTCAGACGTTATGCGTTACGTGTCATGCGTTACTCTCATGATTTTATACTGTAGAGCAAGACAATTTTTTTTTAAATGAATTGTATTTAAATACAACGTAACTACTACAAGTATTTCCTCGTATCTATATAGTTTTAGAACTAAAACTAACCGAATTGCATTAAATTTACATGGTAACGTTAGATAATACGATGATCAAGAAAAAATATACCAAAAAAATGTCCTAAAGTCATTTACTTTGCAGCCAAATAAAGCGATTTTTATTTTTTTCACTGACTCGTAAAAGTAGGTCAGCGAACACTTTTATTCCCTGCTTCATTTGATTGGTCATTTAGAATTTCTTACTAAATCTATTGAAAGTTTATTGAGGTAGAAAAATTAAAGTGGAATAAGGAAGCATAACTGCACCTCAGATAAACAATGCAATTACTTACATTTCTACGTCTACTTATAATATAACCCGATTCCATTGACAGTTCGTTGTGAAAGAATGTAAAAATATCGGTCTTTTTCGAGCAAGCTTCGGTCATTTTGCAGCCGTAATGACAACCTTGTCTCCGAGTCGGGTACGAAGGAGTGCAAAGTGGGGAGTATAGCGGCAAACACGAGGGGTAGTTCCGGCTGCGGGTGGCGGCGAGAGCGGGAGGGTGGAGGATTTGCGTCATAGCCTCGCAACTCCTGACGTCACGATTGATACTACTCGCCGAGCTCCTGCGCACCCCGCGTATCCCGCCGCCGAACGGGCGTTTTCTTGCTATTGCCGTCCGGAGCACCCGAAGTATGAGCTGTGGGATATGTTCATAAATTATGGAATTGAGTTTCGCGCCGCATCAATTTTCTATGCATGCGGGTGGAGCTGTGTTGAATTTTATGGAAGCCACCATTGAAGCCTTTTCCTCACTCAAAAGTTGAATAATACCTTTTACAGGGGACTAATGACGTACTCGTCCCCCCACTTCCGTGAAGTGACGTTTGTGTGGTCCGTTCACTCTTTTTTCTTATCAACACGTCGAGGTGGTTCGCTGGGGATGATGGGGGAGGAAAGAGAGGGAGGGGGGGCAATTGATAGCAAACGCGTTCCATTTTTGGAAGAAGAAACTTTTGAGGGTGTAATATTGCTGATCAGCGAAATTTTCGAGTTGGCACAATAATGACGCAAGAATGATGGAAGCGTGAGGTGGTAAAATACGTGCGTCTGAGCCCTAGTAGCAGAACAAATGTTTGCTTTTCTAAAAAAAATATAAAAAAACATATCTGTTATCTAAATGGTAGTTGTATATAAGAAACATGTAACGCTTTCATAAAAAAAAAAAAATCAAAGTTCAGACCTGGCCGTGATATAAAAAACGATAAAAGCTAGATTAGGTAATTTTTTTTTTTAGACAAGTTTTTTTTATTTTTTTATATAACGCATGCATACGAAAGTTTTAAAAGTGAACATTTTCACGCAGCTATTATATAAAAAAAAGGTAATCATTTTCGTGAACTTTTCGCGAATTAGAAGATATTTTAGTATGTTTGCGAAAAACTCACGAAAAGTATGACTTTTCTTATATGATGGTTACATAAAAATGTTCACTTTTAACACTTTCGTATGCATGCATTATATAAAAAAAATTAACTTTCGTACATAATCTTTATCTTTTCCTTCTATGGTTCTGCTGCTAGGGAGGGGCTACATGTGTATTGAGTAAGGTTGATTTGAATATAAAGAAGACAGAGAGAAAAAGATTCTCCTTTCCCAAATTCTAGTCTCGCAAAGGAGACCCCCTCAAAAAGAAACTACCGGAATGTAGCTCTCTACTTTTGCATTTTCAGTAACCTTTTTTTCCGGAGCCATTATGAACAAACGGATGCCACGTTGCGGCCGGCCAGCGCATTAGCGCCTACAAACCTAAAGGGATACTTCAAGCATTGCACAATGCAATAAGAAATATGCCCTTATTGAACTCCTCCGATCAATAAATTCAGATCCCTCAAAGCGTATTCCTGGCACTGCAGATGATCGACACGACCCTATGCATTACTGAACACAATTATTATTATACCGAACGTGGCGTTGTATACCTAATTAGCTAATTTTTATCAAGTAGTATTTCTAACAAAGGAGACAAAAAAAGGTAGAAAAAAAATGAGCATACTATAACCAAGCACGTGCACAGAGACACATTTTCAATGAATTTGGATACTAGCAGGTTTCACCGCTATCTCGATCTTTCTCCCGACTAGACACACATTTGATCGTATTGAATCGTTAAGGTCTCATTCAGTGACATTAGTCAGACCCTAACATATGAGGCATATGGCCCTATATATGTAACAATGGCAGATGTGAAAAATTAACCTTTAGAAACACGCTTAAAAACTGTTTTGTTCACACAAAAATTTAATCTGTTTGGCTCTGGCATAATGTACAGATCTCGAAGATCACATCTCAAGTATTTTCTCAAAATTTTCTCGATGCCAAAACAGTTTTTTGAATGTGTTTCGAAAAGGTAATTTTTCACATCCGCTATTGTTACAGATAAGTCCTCATATGCATTCATATAAAATACTATCATCGCGTCTCCTAGGATAATATTATAAATTACTTAACTTGGAGACCTAATAATGAGAAACTTAAGACCTTTAAAAGCAGAATGAGTTCATGCAAATAGTTTGAAAATAATCACGTTCAAGGGACGGTAATATTTTCGTGGCTTTTCAAGGACTCATTTCGTTCTCTCCGCTATTAGACGACTACCAGCTGGGATCCCATTTAGGCGTGGAATCCGAATTTCACCCTGTTATCGTATCACGTGCGCTTTGAATTGCGCTCAGGACCGCAAGCCTCAAGGTTAACCAACCCCCGCTTTTACGAGCGGGCGTCTCTCTGGCTCCTTTCAATGTCAGACTGTCTGCACGCAGAAAAATACTCTAGAGGATTTATTTCCTCTCTGACGACTTATCGCCCCTTTGACAAAATTTAATTTACAGCCTTGCCAAAATTGTATTTAATTTCTCCGAATCTCGGAAAAATCCGAACATCCGTGATCTTCACCCTCGGATTATCATCCTCGAATATTTCTCGACTCAATAAATGCTGAAGGAGGAGGTTTTTACATTCGTACTTAAAAATCAAAATGTAGATTGTTCTGCTTATTTTAAATGTAATAGAATCGCTGCAGTGCAAAA